GTAAAAAGTCACTTTGGATTTGCTTAGATCAGCAAGTAAATTACCACAGGTGAAATTATGAATGTCGTAGGTTTGACATTTTGAATAAAGTTATAACTTGCTAATGCTGAAGCTATATCTATGATGATTTTTAAACAAGGATTCATGTTTTTGTATGTGCTTGTGTGCAGGTATTGTTCTTGACTCTGGAGATGGTGTCAGCCACACAGTCCCCATTTATGAGGGGTATGCTCTTCCACACGCCATCTTGCGGCTTGACCTTGCAGGTCGTGACCTGACTGATGCCCTAATGAAAATCTTGACTGAGCGTGGCTATTCATTCACCACCACAGCCGAACGGGAAATTGTGAGGGACATGAAGGAAAAGTTGTCTTACATTGCTCTTGACTATGAACAAGAATTGGAAACTGCTAAAACCAGCTCTTCTGTTGAGAAGAGCTATGAGCTACCTGATGGTCAGGTGATCACCATCGGGGCTGAGCGTTTCCGATGCCCAGAGGTCCTCTTCCAACCATCCATGATTGGAATGGAGGCTGCTGGTATTCACGAGACCACATACAATTCCATAATGAAATGCGATGTTGATATTAGGAAGGATTTGTACGGGAACATCGTTCTTAGTGGTGGTTCCACCATGTTCCCTGGAATTGCTGATAGAATGAGCAAGGAAATTACTGCATTAGCACCCAGCAGCATGAAGATCAAGGTTGTTGCCCCACCAGAAAGAAAGTACAGCGTCTGGATCGGAGGCTCCATCCTAGCTTCCCTCAGTACCTTCCAGCAGGTTGGTTTTGTAATATACATAGTTTCCTTGTACAAACTACCCCTAAAGAGATTGTTGTTAATAATCCGATTTCATTTGAGTGCAGATGTGGATTGCCAAAGCCGAGTATGATGAATCTGGCCCGTCAATTGTGCACAGGAAATGCTTCTGATTACAATCAAGGATAGGCAGACTCAAGTATCACTATTTGGAAAGAAAATGCTACTTGCATTCTTGTTATCTGGTTTTGTTGTCCAATTTTTATTTGCTTTCTATTATTTTACTGGCCGGAATATAACGTTGTAGGTTTATCGCTGGATAATTTGTAATTTTTCCTAAGATGTTTTTTATATTCTCAGTGGTCATTGACTAATCCCTCTGCAAGCCTCGTGGTAGCATGTTTAATCTTTTCCGTGAAACTTTTTGTTCTGTAATTTTATTTTTCGGTTACTTATGCTTTGGCATTTGAATCAATGGGTGGTTTTTTTGACATGAAATTGTGCAGTTTAATATCTGAAAAATAGGCAAAAATGATATGATTATGCCAAATTTGGACTATCAACCCTAAATATGTACATTTATTTTCATCATTTTTGTATATTGATATCAACAATATTTTCGTAGTTTGTTTTTTAAAATTCGAAAGCAACTTTTCGTTGCCATGTTTCTAAAAACTAAAATGCAATCCAATAATAATATACTGAAAATACAAAATTCATTTCCCAATTGCATTTTAGTTTTTGTTACAAGCGTTGCTACACAAAATGGGATATCTAAAAATTTATCAAATAATGTAACAGTATGTGATTTATTCACTTATTTCTAATAAGAAAAGCAAATCAACCAAAATGGGATATCTAAAATTTTCTTTACAACCAACAATTTTTTTTTTTTTCTATTCAAGAAAAAATAAGCCCAAAATTTAGGGATTTTGCAGAGGGGGAAATTGGAATTGGACTATCAGGAGTCATAACCGGATTTGGAGGGACGACTCTCGCCTAACAAGATTTGGTTCAGACAATCAGCTAAAAGAAATTCGGAGCTCAAAATCCCTAGTCTCAGCTGATACCTCAGCTCGTGATGTTGGCGCGCATTTTCCATTGCCGAATCCGTAGAAGCAAACAGAGCCTTGGGATTTGACTCTGCAATTACAGAGAAAAATGGGTAGGATAGCTGTGGCAGCGATTGTGAGCTTGTGGGTAGTTCCCATTTCCGTCCTTGTGAATCACATTGTTCCCGAGCCTTACATGGTAAGCCCAACCCACCAAAGACCGCAACTTTCAGTTGTTCGATGTGACTGCTATCTATTTTAGATTCTTGGGTTTGTGTACATTTTTGTTTTTGACAAGTATGAGCTCTTATGATCTGTAGGATGAGATTTTCCATGTGCCTCAGGCTCAACAGTACTGCAAAGGCAATTTCAGGAGCTGGGATCCCATGATCACCACTCCTCCTGGCCTGTATGTTCTCTAGGAATTCTTAATTCTACTTTTGTTGTTACTTTGTATTGAATTTTGTATGCAACCAGCTGATTTCTTTTTGGGAAGTAAAGGGTCTTACTTTTAGCAAATTTGTTGGCTTTGCTATGTTTTGATGGAGAAACTTAAGGATCATGTTGTATTAGCAAAGAACTTAGTATATGCTATTTAAAACTTTTGCAGGTACTATCTTTCACTAGCCCATGTTGCTTATTTGTTTCCAGGCATGTCCTTCATAAAAGCAGCCACATCATTTTCTGAAGTCTGCTCCACATCGATTCTTCGCTCCTTCAATGGTGTTTTGGAGTTACTTTGCAGTGTTCTAGTATATGAGATAATCACCCACTTAAGACCAGCTCTTGATGAAAGAAAAGCAACACTTTATGCAGTGGTCCTGGCCCTGTATCCTCTCCATTGGTTCTTCACTTTTCTCTATTATACAGATGTTGCATCACTTGGTGCAGTGCTTGCTATGTATCTTGCTTGTTTGAAGAAGAAGTACTGGTTTAGTGCATTGGTAAAGGCTCAAGTCTCTTCCATAAGTCATTTTATAATTTTTGAACATAAGGATGTTGATTCTGATGCAAATACACACTTGTGCAGACATATGTTATACCTATATGTTTGTCCATTCAAGTGGTAACTTAGTTTGATGTTGTTAATGCAGCTTGGCGTCTTGGCAGTTGTTATTCGGCAAACAAATATTGTATGGATGCTTTTTGTTTGCTGCTGCGAGGTTATAAATATTGCTTTTGGTGGTCAAAGAGATAAAATAGATGTAGACGACACTGACTTCTCAATTAGGAAAAATGTTGAACTAACTCCTGCAAACAGTATTACATTAGGCTCAAACCTGAGAAAGCGGAAGCTTAGAAGTTCAGTGGATAACGGAATACATTTAATGTCAACTAGAAGTTTTTCTTCTCAAAAGTTAACGTCAGGTTTGTCTTCACATAGCTTTCCAAGTTGATTGGTCATGTCCTGTGGGGGATATTGTTTGTTTTTAAGGCTTATAACAGATCTTGGTGGCATTATTTTGCAGGTTTTCTTGATGAAATTAAGGCCATCTTTCTAAGATTATGGCAAATGAAGTTGGAAGCTTTGGTTTCTTTTAGCCCTTTTATTCTAGTATTAGCAGCCTTTATTGCTTTTATTTGTTGGAATGGGAGTGTAGTTCTAGGTATGACTCATCGTTTTCTTTTTGCTTTCACATATTGTGGCATATAAAGTGGCCTTTATTACTATTGTCTTTTACTGTGTCCAAATGTTGTAGGTGCAAAAGAAGCTCATGCGGTTTCTCCACATTTTGCACAGATCATGTATTTTGGTCTGTTTTCTGCTTTTATGGCTCCTATGCACTGTAGTTTGAGTCAAGCTGTAGATTTATTCCGGTCAATGTGGAGGAATAAGTTTCTTACTTTGTTTCAACTGTCTTTAGCACTGGGTGCTGGGTTCATCTCTATTCATTTTTTCAGGTTAGCCCTATTTAACTTTTTTAGCTTAATGTTTTTAGAAGAATAGTTGCACTGAATTTGTTGAAGAGGATTTTTTTTTCACAGATTTTGTTACTACTAGCCATTCTTTGGCCTGCTGGAATGCCCTCATATGGACTTCTTAAATAATGTTTGAGAAAGCAATTTTCGTCTGTTTCTTTTCTGGCTTTTTTCGGCTATGAAATTGTACATTTTCTCCAATTTCAAGAATGATGAACGTTTCCTTTGCTGTTTTCACATCCAGTGAATTATGAATAATCATTTAAAAGTTTTATGTCACAATTTTATAACGTAGTTCGTCGACTCTTGCAGCATAGCGCATCCCTATCTTCTCGCTGATAATCGGCATTATCCCTTTTATCTTTGGCGGAAGGTCATCAAAGCTCACTGGTCAATGAAGTACCTACTAATCCCACTATATGTTTATTCATGGCTTTCCATCATCACTAGATTGGGTTGGTAAACAGATCTCTTAGCCATTATATCTGATCAAGCTTCCTTATCTCTCTTCACTAAATAGTTGTTTTTATTTCACCATGGCAGGGAAGTTTCAGAGGAAGATCTGGGTGCTGGCATTTTTCTTGGCAACTGCTGCAGTTTTGGTTCCAGCGCCACTAATCGAGTTCAGATATTATACCATTCCCTTCTTTTTCTTGATGCTACATTCGCATACCGACGATTATCGAAGTTTGCTCTTCACGGGATTTCTGTATATAACCATCAACGTATTCACCATGATGATGTTCTTGTATCGTCCATTCCATTGGTCCCATGAGCCAGGGACCCAGAGGTTTATATGGTAGCTCGATTCACAAGAGATGCTAAAAGCTTCTCCAACAATTAGCCGTATGAATTTTTGTTTTCTTGGTGTTCATTGCAATGAATATTTGTTGTAGCTTTGTACAAGTTGAATTCATTGATAAAGAAATGAAATGATAAAGTTTTGGTTTTCTTTACCTGCATGAATTTCTGAATCTTATTTTATCATCGTGCCATCTCTAATTAATCCGAAAAATCTGGGTTTTATGCTCAATGGTTTTAAATATTCCAAAACCCAATTTGATAGTAAATTTGAAATTTATTTTCGATTCAAGGGGGCTTGTACTTGCACTCAAGGTGTTAGGTTCGATTCAAGGGGCTTTCGTCCTTGTATGAAAAAAAAAGAAAGTGTTATGTGTTTGGTTGACGGTGGTCAACAGTGATCCTCCGTAGTTTACGAGGCACACGAGTTGCAAGGTCACAAGTTATAAGCCATGGAAGTCGGAGGTTGCTTGAATTACAAGCCATGGAACTCGGCTCTGTCTCGCACCTCGAACCTCAAACACTCATGAGCCATGGCGGTGGAGAATTTGGCTTCAAATTCAATGGCGAATATTTCTTGGCTTCACGGCCTGCTATGGTGGAGAAACTGGGGTAAAAGAGACTGGGCAATATCAGCCATCGGATTTGCCGTCTTTGTCTTCGCTCTCGCTTTCGTCTCCTACTCTTGGAACTCTGATCCAGACTCCAACCTCAGCTCCTCATTCCATCGAATCACCGCGACCGATTTGGTCGACTTGACCTTGTTGCACAACGCCACACGTAGAGGCGCAGGTACTCAATCTTAACCCTGCTAGCCGAATTTCAAAATTTCTTGTGTCTTCAGTTCCTAATTCAATTCTCTTCTTGTTTAAATTTAAATTTATGGTTTTGCAGTTTGCTTAGATGGGAGTTTGCCTGGCTACCATTTTCAAAAGGGCTTTGGTTCTGGCGCCAATAGTTGGGTGCTTTACATTGAGGTCCTAATAACTCAAATCTTATGTTTTTCTTTTTCTTTCATTCCATTTACTTTTTCTATTAGAGATGTTGATTAAGAAAGCAAAAATGGGTAATGGGTTTGGGTTGAAAATTGAAATGCAGGGTGGAGGTTGGTGCAATACAATAGAATCGTGTTTTTGGCGTAGAGAGATCCATTTAGGGTCTTCCAAACATATGGGACATCGAGTTCACTTTACTGGGATTTTAAGCCCTCACCAAGCACAAAATCCTGGTACTTCAATTTGACTCACCTGCTTTGTTGTTGTACCATCACCATAACGCTTAAGTTTGTAGCTTTTAACCAGTAATTGATGTGATTCAATTCCATTTTTGGAGCATGCTTTAGAATTCTTTAACTGGAACAGAGTCAAAGTGCAGTATTGTGATGGTGCATCTTTAGCCGGCCACCCGGATAATGAGTTGAGGGTAGGTTTTTATTTGGATATTTTAACCAGTTGTAATTTTAATAATGGAAGTTTTTGTTTTTGTTTTTCAAGTAATTAACATTGTGTGCTCTTCAATGGCATAGAATGGAACACGCCTTTTCTTTAGGGGCCAGCTCATCTGGGAAGCACTTATGGATAAGTTCTTCTCACTTGGCCTGTCGAAAGCGAAACAGGTATCTCTGTGGTTACTTGGATTAAGCTCTAATTGTTCTATAAATGTACAGTACATGGTTAGATGATTATGATTCTCATTCTAATTCAGAGAGCTAATTTCATTGATGTTTTAATGATATAATTTGTTAATTCCCACTCGCATAAATTCACTTTCCTGTCCAAAATAGGTCTGTTTCTGCTAATATGTATGAGTGACAATCTTACAGGCCCTTCTTGCGGGATGCTCCGCTGGTGGATTGGCGGCTCTTATACATTGTGATGAATTTCGTGGTCTTCTGCCTAAGAATGTAACTGTCAAATGTCTTGCTGATGCAGGTTTTTTTCTTGATGAGTATGTTTTATGTGTACCAGTGCGTTCTGCACCAACATCTTTTAGCTAATCTGTTCAGTATGAAGTCTTTCTAGAATAATGTTTTCTTATGTGAACTCTTCTTAGGATCATACTTTCTTGCTTCACTTATATCTCCTAAATATAAAATTTCATGTGATAACGTGCAGTTTCGTGATCCTACTATTTCTAGTTCATACATCAGGAATTGAAAGCCTATCATAATTAGACACCTACATACCAATCTATTTTCTAGAAACTTTGAAATTCTTCGTATCAAGCTACACTAGGAATGTTGAATTTCTTGCATGCTTTTACTAACTGCTTGTATGTGCATAATGCTTTTTATTTATTTTATTTATTTATTTATTTTATAATAATAATTATTATTTTCAATGCATCCTCTGTGCTCCGAATAGTGATCACGCAGAGAAAAGAAAGATTTTTTTATAGCAACTTTCTGTTTCCTGCATTTCAGGAAAGATGTTATCGAAAATCCCACCATGAGATATTTCTTTCACGATGTTTTCATTCTTCACGTAATGCTCTGATCTTTACTGATACTATCTTATGTAATCTTTAGCTAGGTGATACTTACCCTTGTTTTCTCTGTACAAATTTGATTACTAACAATGGTGATACTGTTGGGTTCACGGGATCTCGGGTTTGACAGATGGTGTGAATATGGGGGTGTACACTCTAGTCAATATAAAATTGAATCTTTAATATGGTGCATCTGCTAATGCTTATTTTAGTATCTAACACTTCATACATGAGACAGGGTTACATCCATTTTGATTTTATAACCATTATACAGTACTTTCATTGACACTAAGGTCTAGCTGAAAGCTACAGGTTTAACACGAGTCATTATTGATATCTCTTGCTTATTTTTCTGGTCAGGGTTTAAGAAAAAGTTTACACAAGGATTGTATTGCAAGAAAGGAACCAGCTGAGGTAGGTTTTCTTTAACTCTTACGCAGTATCTCTATCAAATTTGAGATGTTCTTAATTCTTCTGCTCAGTTGTTGATTCATAACACGAAGCCCTTATTATCTGTTGTGATTTTTCGCAGTGTCTCTTTCCTAAAGAAATTATTAAAAGCATTGCCACCCCAGTGTTCCTCCTCCACTCAGCTTATGATTTTTGGCAGGTAAGTTTCCTCAGAACCCAAGTTTCATTTGCACTCACCAGAATTTGATTTCACATTCATTGTTTTTATTTTTCGTAATTGGATGATCATTAGATACAAAATATCTTGATACCTGAGGGATCAGATCCGTATCACTACTGGCAAAAGTGCAGACTGGACATTCATAATTGCAATGCTACCCAGGTTGAAATACTGCAAGGTAATTGGGTATGATTCTCATGACACAATATGTATTGCCTGACAGTTCAGTAAATGAGTTACAGCTAAAATGGGCCTGAGTCTATGTAGCAAGGGATTATATGGCCCACTCTTCAAGGAATACTATCTCAATGGTCTTATAATTGTTAGCTGAAGTACATTGCTGATGGCCACTGGCCATTTGTAGACTTATGTGGA